TGTGTGTGTGTGTGTGTGTGTGTCATCGCGTTTATTTCATTTTCCAAAAGGGACGACGACGAAACGACTCGCAGGTAAAAGTTATTTTCAAAATTTCATTTTCGGTTGGAGACGCCTACGGGGCGCGCTTTACTTTCATTTCTCCCGTAAATATGCGACACGTTCGACCAATCAATCGAAATCGCAAACGGATTCACACGGTAAGTGTGAAAATTTACGCCACGTGAGATATTTGGAGGGAACGAATAGTATCCGAAAGGATATTCTCGAGCAGCTACGAAAGACGCTTCGTAAGTCGGAGATCTCTTTCGAAGGTCTGTGCGACTCTACCGATCAACGTCCGTACGGCCGGAAGTACTGCCATAACTGCCTTCCGCTCGATGTCCCCTTTCCCCGTGCTACTCCCACCAGAAGTCACGTCAGTAATTATCGAACCATTGATGAACTTGATCTCTTCGCCTTTGACCAACGATATCGCGGCGCGCGCCAATTCCTCCAAGATATTTGGAGAGAATATATTGTGTACATGTCTGGATAATGTTTTGCCAAAGAGAATATGTGTGTGTGTGTGTGTGTGTGTGTACACACCTGTACGTGCGTGTGCACATGCGAAACAGAAGAAAATAAATGAACGTGCAATCTGTACTCACGTAATCATCACGAAAAAGTTCCGCGTGCATTAGCGCCGTTTTCGCTTGAACGACAACTTGATGCAGAAGCTGCGAATCGGTTAGCTGCACCACGTCCAAATCACCGGTAAAATCTTCGGCAGCGAGGCCACAAGGATTCACCCATTTCGGGGACGAGCTGAGCCGTCTATCTTCAAGCGTCATCGTCGGGGCGGCGTGCACCGAGACCACGAGCAGCGTCACCAAAAGACTACCTAACCCTGAAAGTCAAATTCAACATGGAAATGATTACACACCGGTGTACCGGCGGCAGAGACTTGCGTGGGATTTCGTTCCAAGCTGGGCTACCAGCTTTCTCACGAAAGCTGACCGTTTCTCCTCGGATAAAATCGGGGTTCGGGGGGTCAGAAAAGCGAACGCTTCGAGTCTGATCTCTCGGAGTCTTGAGACTTTGA